CACACACACACACACACACACACACACACACACACACACAAACACACACACACACACGCCTGCAGCTCGTCCTTCGATGCTCATGTCATGGCCGCTATTCACGATCCCACGGCACGCAAGAATGCTACGCTACTATTCCCACTATGATCATCATTACTGGCCCACCAACTATCATGTATCCTATATATTCTATATCTTATATACTATCGTTACAGTAGTATTTACCGCTCTCGGTCCCACATATCTAATGATACACGCGGAGACAGTTGCCTCAATCTTACATTCACATTCAACATCGACGTCATGGCAAAAATGCTGTTTAGATTGCATCTATCGACGCGTATACAAATTGGTGGGGGAGGGGTGGCATGCATTGAAACCAAAAAACACGCTCCCTTTTTCTCTCTCTCTCTCTCTCTCTCTCAGACTTTCTCTCTCTTTCTTTCTCTCTCTTTCTCTCTCTCAGATCCTCTCCCTCCTCCATCTCGTCATCTGTTCTTTCTCTCTCGATCCTCTCTCTCAAGCTCTCTCCTCCTTTCTTCTACTCTCTCTCTCTCTCTCATCGTCTCTCTCTCTTCATCTTTCTCTATCCTCTACGCCATCTCTCTCGTTTTCGACCTCCCTGTCTCCTTCCTCTCTCTCTCTCTCTCTCTCTCTCTCTCTCCTCTCTCTCTCTCTCTCTCTTTCTCTCTCTCTCTCGCTCTCGCTCTCGCTCTTCCTCGCTCTCAGGCTCTCATCCACACTGTTTCTTGTAGGCACCCTGGAGGAAGAAAAGGCTTATATAACATGAACGGGCAATCGCCAAGAGTCGTGCTCGGGATAGGTTATGACTACCCGCGACATGACAACTTCCAAATACTGAGTAAGTACATACCACGTCACATCCAGTAGAAATTCACGTTAAACCCATCGATAACTGATTGACTCCGCACTCAGAGGTAATCCGCGTCTTTGAATGACGGTTGCAATTCCAATGTTAATAATTACTAAATTATTAATTACTAGTTGTTAGTTCATGGTAATTAGTTTATAGCTCATACTAGTTAATATCAATAGTTGTAATTACGTACGTTGCAGTATTGTTCGCGCTCGTGTTTCCACGTGTAGAACACACTACACGTCTCCCACAAGTTTATACGTGATCTTTGAATGTCGGTTGTGTCAATTACCATGTATATAATGACTATACGTTATTAATAAATAGTTGTTAGTTTATGGTAATTAGTTTATAGCTCATATTAATTAATAACATTAGTTGTAATCATGTACGTTATACGTTATACGTTATTGTTGTTCACGCTCGCGTCGTCTTCACGCGTCGATAGAAAACACTGCGCGCGCATCACAGCAGTTTATACGTGAGACGTAGAAATGCCGCCATGTTTGCCGCCTTATTATCAGCCATGTTAGCAGCTTGTCTTTACATCTGTAATTTCACCGTCTGCGTTTTCTACTTTCTGCGATTTCTAGACGTGACGACGTCGTGCAGCGAATACTGCAGCGGTATGTTCGTCTACATAAGATTCTACGACGATTTTCGAGGCAAGCTCACGCTGCTCGCCGACCAGAATGAGACGTTGTGCCAGCACGAGTGGGACAACAAGCGTGCCCGCTTCTACGTGCCTTTCTTCGGATGCGGCACAACAGAGGAAATCGTTACGGTGAGTATTGCCGCACGCATACGCGCGCACACACGCACGCACACATACATACACACTCACACACAAAGACAAACACACAGGCGCACGCAAGCACGCATACATACACACACAAAGACAAACACACATGCGCACGCACGCATGTACGCGTGATCACACGCGCGCACACGCACACCCGCGCACACGCACACACGCTGTCACGTACGCACGCACACACACACGCACGCACGCACGTACGCACGCACGTACACACATATACACACACTCAAACACAAACACACACGCGCTCGTGCACGTGTGCGTACTAACACCCATTCACGCGTGCGTGCACGTCGGAGCGTATTTCAATGTGCGTGTGTGTGTGTGTGTGTGTGTGCGCGCGCGCGCGTTTGTGTGTGTGTGCGCGTGTGTGCGTGTGTGCGTGTGTGCGTGTGCGTGTGTGCGTGTGCGTAGGTGTGTTCGTGCATGCCCACGTCCGGCATTGTCGTAGTCAGCAATCTAGGTATACAACGGCGCAATACATTGACCAGCAGGGGGATGAATAGCATAATAGAGCTTAGATAAAACTTACGATAACCCATAGAGTTATGTAGTCGTTAGAAGAGACTAGATACGCGCTATTGAGTTCTTCCTATAACCAGTGCCTCGTTTCATGAGTAAATATTTTTTAACTACCTGGCGACATACCAGGTCCGAGACGTGAATTTAAACAAATGCGTTTGCAAATATTTGGGGTAAAGAGTATGTCTTCGCAAAGCAAACTATATATCTGAACATTTGTTTAGTAGGAAGTTCTGTGAGATTGTTAAAAGTTGGTATAGTTCCTGACATAGTTGACATTTTGTCAGGAAAAGAAAAAAATGCGGATGTGCGGGTCGTGCACGTTGTAATTTCTCATAAGAAACTTTGAAATTCGGAGTCAAATCTTGTTTTGGTTTGGTGGGTTCAGGTAGCAATTAGTGTGGCCAACAGAAGTGTGTGTGTGTGTGTGTGTGTGTGTGTGTGTGTGTGTGTGTGTGTGTGTGTGT